GGCAGGAGCTGCCCGGGCTCCGGTCCCCAGCGTCCCGCCGGGAGCAGCTGCAAAACACCCCAGGGCTCCAGCGCCCGCTCGGGGCTCTAAATGCCGCCACAACCCTGAGAAACAGAAGCCCGGGTCAGCACCGCGCCCGTCCCGGGGCTGCACCCCCAGCAGCCAGAGCCCTGCCCCGCGGGCCAGGCCCGTTTGATATCAAACTACAACCTGAATTCTTTAGCAAAAACCCTTTGTTCTTGCACAAGGGCAACCACGGGCACAACGGACGGAACGTGACGTGTCAGCATCTTCACTGAAGACACGGACCTGCTGAGCATCTGCTGGATCCCATCACACCCCCCCTCCTCACCAGGCAGAGCTGCACTCAAGTTCAGGTTCTGCTTCACTGTGGGATCAGCCTGTGTCAGTCACATCGTGTTGTAGCTTTTTCTTACACTGTTTCTTGAACTTCTTTAAATAATTAAAATCCCAGTCTAAATACATATACACTTATAAGCAGGACCCAGAAAAATACAGTGTGTTTACGTTTAAGTCTGTCTATCAGAAAAATAAGCAGAGCACACAAAGCAACAGTTGTTCAAATCACGACACTTGTTGCATCTATCTCACAAATCCACCTCCGTGATTGTCCTTCCAGGCAGGCACTGCTCAACTGCACAGCAGTAATTTCTCTGGTATTTAGGCTGTGCCGTAAACGTCTGGAAGTTGCAGCTAGAAAAACAGTTGCTCTCAGTTCTCTGACTTACAAAGCACACTGCAGTTCCAGTGCCTCTGCACCCCAAGTCAACGCTCCTCTGCTTTACCCTGCATGAAAAGCAAGAGTTCAAGAACTTATCCCACAGAAAGGACAAGGACCAAAGCAGGTTCCTTGTTCTCCCCCTTGCACACAGGGATCACAGCCATCGAGCACCACATGTTGGACACCAGCCTTACCTACACACTTGTGGCCCAAGAGTGCTTTTCAAGCTTCCAGAGCTGCTGCTGAACATTAGATGTCCCAAACACATACCTGACCTCATTAAAGATTTATCTAACGCTTTTTAAACACAAAATTTGTTTCAGACATAAATCTGGAAACATAACTTGAAGGGCTTATGCCTCATGTCACTCCACATTCCATGCTTAATAAATCATTCCCGAAAATTACCTCTTCTAGGGTTTGCAGCTCCTCATGACTCCTATATGCCCCTCCGGAACCTGTGGCACACAAGACACGGCCTCCTGACACGTGCTATTCCCAAGCCTTTAGATTTTTCTCAAGTAGACAGTGCTCTGTAAAGGCAAGCAGGTGATTCATCTTGAATCCAACTTATTTTTATGTATTTAAAGACAGCATTAGGAAATTAGTTTCATCCCACTCCTATGCATTTTCTGCACTCAGTATAAAATCAGCTCAAGACAACTGAATTGCAGCCAAGAAACAAGTGCCAAAGGAGCACGTGAGTACAATCTGCTGGAATGCCAAGAAAGGAAACAAGAACTCTGCAAGTCTAGGGAACTGAACACAACCCAATCAAGCTCTTAGCATGAAGCTCATGCAAATAGTATTTGCATGGTCTGCACTTACCTTTTATACAAGTTTAACAGGCTACACAGTTTTCCCCACACTATTCTAAAATGGAAAATTATCTGGTAAGCAGCAGGTTTATCATTATATTAACACCAAAGCCAACAGTAACAGTTTAAGTATGTTTTTTTTTAATTTTCTTACAACCACATAAAACTGTTATATACCACAAATTTATGTACACTATTTACACACAAAACAAGCAAAATATCCATCCAAAATATTTTTTAAAAAATCCTCTGATTAAATTGTTACACCTGCTCAAACAATGGTGGGATTTAATAGGCATATTTTCTTGTGCATGTTTCTCTTCCATCTAGTACTTCACTCTCAATGCATATATATATATATTTAAAAGTTAAAGAAAGAAAAAACAACAAGCAGAAGGGACACAACACAATATGCATTTAAATCTTTGTTTAAGAACAAGCAGCTAATTAAAAAAGGCAAAATACAGGAAAAGTGCATCAGTTCCAATGAGTTAGTATAAGAAAGAAGTCCACAGGAGGAGAGCAGGTACCCCTTTGGGTATAGTCTCCTAGAAGACCTCTGATTGTCTACAAAGATTATTTAAAATTTATTTAAAACAGAAATTAAAAAAAAAAAAAAAGGAGAGGAGAAACATGACACCTCCAGATTTTTTTTTCCACGAGGTTTCTTGGAAACTGGTGCTTAACAACATCCAGAGTGGGCAAGAATTAATTTGTGCCCAGACCTCACTGCTCATTGACACAACTCGAGTGAGCTGTCCCCATGTCTCAAGCAGAAGGCCTGTTCCTCTTGAACTGTGCAAGGCTAGAGGACTGCCACAGGCTCTGTGCCCATGTTTGTGCTAAGTCAGTCAGACCTCCTGCCTCTGAATTTTGTCAGTGCAAGACCTGCTCACTTCCATGGCTTAAAGCTGAGCCAAACATTGCTGGCTTTGCACCTAAGAGAATAACTTTGTCTTCTCACCAAAAAGTCCATTTATAGGCCCGATGCATTTCAGAACAACAGATGCGACACTAAGGAAGCTAGATATGACCATGAAAGTGTCACTAAAAGTAACTCACTTTTGTTGTATTTCATAGATATTATTATTATTTTTTTTTTGTTTAGAAAAAACACGTAACAATAAAAGAGGCTTGCTGTATCTGGTGTTCCCAAGCCCTGTTCAGGTCCTTCACTCAAAAGGCTGCCTTTGAAAACAAGGCTACATGCATGTTGGGGAAGGTTGGCAGCACTCTGAAAGACAGGTTCAGCACACAATCCCTTTAAAATGGAGCTTTCAGCCAACATCTAAAGTCTCCAGACAGAGCCTATGTCTTTGTGCTTAATTAGTTTTAGGTAATATGAGCTCACAGTAGGCAGTAACCAGTCTGTCACTATGTGACAGGACAGGTTAAGGAGCAGCTTTGTATAGGATCGTGGTATTTTTGGCTTTCTGGTAAGGCTACTTCATCTAGTAACTTCTCCTCTAACAACAGATTTGGTCCAAAGGTATCCAGTCTCCAATCTGAGCTCGACAGTTTTGAAGCCTATTCCATTACATTCAAAAATCTTGCAAGCCACTTTGCCTTTGCCAACAACGTACCGAGTCTTTGTACTTTGTACAGAAGAATGGAGTGCTCAGTCCAATCAACTGTAAACATATTTACACTTCTGTGGACCTAGCAGCTAAATACTCCTTCCCTCCTTTAAAGCATCATTGGAATAAAGAATAAACAATAGAAAATCCTAAAACAACAACAAAATACTGCTGAAAGTCATGACAAGAGAAACTAATCCTAACAACCACTCACAAACCCTGTAGTTACTGTTTCCATTAATCCCAGGAGAGACTACAAACCCTCCTGGAGCTCTATGCAGCACACAAATTAATCTGCCTTTTATTTCATTCCTCAAGAGCAACTTTCATAAATGTTTAGCATTAGAAAAAAAAAAAGTAGTCTTCATTCACCAAGATCAGTGCTGTACCTCTCCTCTTCTGGAAGGACTGCTTTCAGTTTAGGATGGACTGCAAGCTGCTCGTACCTTGGGGGCTGATTCTACCATGTGAACTTTCTGTGACGTATTTGGAGGTCAAATACTATCCTATTATGGATCTCTTGTGTTGGTGCAGGTTACAGTAACTCTACAAAATGTTTCTGCCTAACAAGGCTAAGCTTAGTACAGCACTAGTGCCATATGGAGGCACCACCAGGTTTCTAAAGCTATGATATGCAAAACCAAGACTGTACGATGCATATGGAAATAAGACAAGCAAGAATACAAACCCTCAATGGGTCAGCCTCCTATCATCCACATAAACAGTACGCGAGGCCCAGTGGAAGGCTCAAGTTTCTTGTACTGAAGACATTTGTGCAAGACACCACTGCCTTTCTCCTGGACTCCAGGTCCATTCTTACGGTGAATGGATGTGCTGCAAGACAGCTCAAATCCCTGAAGCCTAAATTACTGCAGTCCCAGCAACTCCTGCTGCTGAAACATCAGTACCACCCAAAACCAAGATTCAGCCACTGGCTACCCAAAATCCAGTTTTGAGGAAACAGAGTAACTAAAGCAGCACGTGAGCTGATTTCAAGTCATGTTGGAATAAGATGAACAAATATAAGTGCAGTTGTGTCATCTGCCACGTATAGAGAAAGAGGAACTTGAAACAGAGTCGAGTAGAAATACCATCCATCAAGATAAAGCCCCAATTATCCCTTTTAAATCCAGCAATAAAACAGAGTGCATTTTTGTCCAGGAAACAGAGTGTACAGTACCCGTGTGCAGCATAAAAACATTTCACAAATAATGAAAACATCCCTTTTGAAAATCTCAACAAAAATAGATCCCATTGGGACCAGACTGTCAGTGCCTCCCAAAACAAGGCAGAAAAATCCAGCCTATAAAACATGCCAAAGGTGACCAGTAAGTATCCCACTAACCTCTGAAACTGCTGACTGCTTTATTTACTGAAGAAAATAAATATGACATTTGTATTTAAAACCCTAGGCGCTGTGTTAACAGATTCACTAAATTACCCTTTAAGCTCTGTTCTCTCCCAACAACTACTTAAAAAGACATCTATCTGTCCAAAGGGAAAGGTGGAAGCAGCATCTCCTGGCTGTGCAGATCAATTCAGCTGGGCATCAGTGCAATAGAATTCTGGAAACCCCACAGAATGACAAATAGGATTCAAAAGTATCACCTTCCAGCATGTAAGTTCTCCGCTGGTCAAATTTCTCACGACAAGATGCTGAAACCAAAGCAGAAATGTTTCTTTCAAAAATTTTTTCAGGCCTAATGGATTATCACTGAGCTTGTCCTAAAAGAATGGAGTATAGGCAGATGACCTAAGCAAAACATGAAGAGCCAAAATGATTATTTATTGGCCATGTATCTAGTGTGAGGAAGAAGCACTTTGATTTCAATTTCATTATGTTTTCAGACTCTGCTAACTCTGGGGAAAAAATCTGCTCTAGCTACACACGGCTCTCCCTCCCTCTAGAAAACAGTGAAGAGTCTACCTGACCCTTATGTTTTGGTTCTGGAATGGAAAAAAAAAAATATCTGATTTTAGCACTGCTGTGATGAGGCCGTTGTTCTAAGGGGCAAAATAAATATATCCCAGGTATTCAGCTTTGTTTATTCTAAACAGTTTTCATCAGAGGTTGCTCCCCCTCAACACCTATGTGGCAGATACAGACACATAGACTGTGCAAACTCAGCTCTTAGTTCAGAGACCTCCTTGCTCACAGCATCAGAATAACAAGATGCCATTAGGCCTGAAAGAAGCCTGATTCAATCCATTCAACCAGAGTAACCAGTGCTTATCAGAGACCAGCAAATGCATCTTTCCTAAACAGATTCCTGCAGCAAGCATCTTCCTACCTCAAATGCCTTAGTATGCCAGGAGTTTTCTGCAAAAATGTATTTGAATAGAAGATAAAGGACCAGGGCTGCACACATAGAGCTCCTGCCTGAGCTTCTCCAAATGCTCTGAGAACAGGCAGAGTGTAAGTATGCAGGCCATCTGAAATCTAACGCTGATTAGATGCAGATCTTGACCCTTATGCAAGTTTGCCACATCTTTAATGGAAAGTAGGGCAAGCTCTGTTACTTGAAAGTGTAAAGCACAGGTCTACAGCAAGTGGCTGATTAGGTTTTATTACCCTGGAAAATTAAAATCAGCAGTTGATACTACTGTGGTTCTACGGATGGAGCTACACATCCCTCTGGTCCTTTTCCTTTTTCCTAAAAAAAGCACACAAACCCTTTCCCAACCCCCCACATTTTCATCAAGTCTGCTCCTGAGCAGCTGTAAGTAGTTAAAAATACAAAGTCATGCTCATTAGACAGTGTGTAAACGCTGGCAGAGCTAAGTTGCACTCCTGTATCAATTGCAGTTTTCTTAGTGTATTCTCTAAAAAGATGTTCAGGTAGCAAAGCAAAAGTCTGCTGACAGGCTCTGTGTACATGGCCCAAATGGCTCCTATAAGGAAAAGGAAATAACTTCACACAATTAAAAAAAAAATAAAAATATCTGACAACCAAAATATAGAAAATGCAGAGGCACTTTCTCTTTCCTTCCTTTTTTTCCTACAGCCCATTTGTAAGAGAAGTGCAAAATAATTTAGTTTTCTGACATCTGAGAAAAAGGTAACATCCAGGTTAAGCCTACACAGGTTTCAGCTAAAGCTTTGGATCAGAAGCTCTGTATGCTGATTTGGGTTTGTACTCCTGATATGCCTAACAGGAGACTGCTGTGCAGATACAAACGATTTGTCCAGAAGTAGTAGTTCCCTTTTTAGTTCATCATTTCTACTGTTCAGGCTACAGAGGTAGTAAAAACAAAACAGAACAAAAAACCAACAACAACAAAACAGAACGCCAAAACAAATAAACAACCCTCTAAAGGAACCACCCTCTCACTATACTGTACATTCAGAACCCTGTGGCCATGTTGTTGTCCTAACAATGAACAAATTCATTAAAAATCCCAACATTAACACACGAATGTGCAAAGAGCACATTCCAAAGCCAGTGCTGTGGTAAAGCAAGTGTTCGTCCACAGGGAAGGAAGGGAATTCTGTGAATCATCAGGAACAGAGAAAGGTTATTTCTGGCAGCCTACATGCTAGCGTAAACAGGATCCGTTCCTCCTTTTAAAGTTCTGTGCCAACGGAACTATTGAAATGTCATTTCCCACCAGAGGAGACTTTTTTTTAATTGTTAAAAAATACATTAAAAAACCAGGAACCATAGAGCAAGAGACTCTTGTGTTCCCGAGCTGGCAGCTGGTAGAGTAGCCCCTGTGTTTGCATTGACATTTTGCTCCAGATGTTGTCTTCCTTTTGTCCAAGTGAAAAATGGAGGCTGGCAGATGCTCTTAGATCACCAGGGCCTCAGTTTAACTTCATTTGGCTTTCCTTGCGAATGAGAAAGGAGCATGTCTTTGTAGTTGTGCTTCAAAGGTCCATCCAACTTGGCTGCTCCTCAGTTAGCAAACTGCTGGTAAAAGGCAAGTTTGACCCTCTCAATGTGATGGCAAAGTTTAATAGCTGGTCCAAGCTTCAAGTCCAGGCACTCCTGAACAGTGGGCAGGGTGAGCAGCAGCAGTGCCTGGCCATCGATTTCCTGTCAGAAGACAAAAACTCCACAATGACTTTGTATTTTTACTCTCCCTGCTCCTTCAGCTCTGACTTGCTGTCATTTCAGATTCATGACCGTTTATGAATTAGACATTTATTTCATGCTACTCCAAGCAGCTTAAAAAAACCCAAAATACCTCTTTCTTACAACAAATTAACTCCTTTCTTAAAATGTCAGCTTGAATTCCCTGGCAAAGGGACAAAATCTCATTAGATACTATTTAAAAACAAACAAACCTAATAACAGAAACCAAGAAAATTTAATGCAGAAAGTCACTCTACCTAACCTCTGTATCCTTCTATGAAAACCTAAGTCCTGCAAGTAAAAGTACATCTTCTGGAACACCTATTATAAACCATACTCATTGGTTCCAGTACAGCAGTTTTATGAATGATAGTTTTTAATGGCAAACTTTAATCAAGATGCAAGAACGATGTTAACTTGACTCATGTTTGTACTCCAGTTGTTATACTTCAACATAAAAATGTTCTCTTGTTGTGCAGCTGTATGACACCCAATAGCTGCAGTTGGTCTGCAGAATGGAAAACATTTACCATTTGGACAAGTCAACACAACTGGCAAAAAACTACAGCTCCTGCCTTAATGCTGCTTGGTCACAGGCATTCTCTATAGTTCTGGAATCTGGAAGCCCCACAGACCAAAATGTCCTCCCCCAAGTACTAAGAAACCTGACAAATTCTGTCCATTCCCTTAATCCTCCCCCCCTCAAACTGCAGAAGGTTGTGAATGCATTTGTTTCCTCAAAACTCTACAAAATTTAAACTAGCTTCTTTTAGTGATTCATTAGAGGACAAGAAAGAAAGTAACAGTGTCGACACTTCACCAGACAGAAAACCATACCTGATCAAGGAAAATTCTTGCCAGTGGTGCACAGTCAGTGGATTTGAGGAATCGCACAACGTCAGCCACGCTCCACTCCAGAGGGTTACTGTCCAGCTGCAGCTTTTCAGCAACTTCCATCTTTATGTCCTAGACAAGCCACCCAGCACAAAAAGAATTCCCAAAATAATACATATGCAACGAACCAACACTGTCCTCTACCCCCCACCCCTCAAACATTCAGCTGCCAAATAAAGCTCTAATAAGAGCTCAATTTGTAGAGGTTTCCCTGTTAGCAGAGACATGCGGAGCAGCACTGGGCTGAGGGTGAAGGCCACAACCATATTATAGCCAGTAGCAGGGTTCTTGATGCAGGATTTGGCCACCATCACTGCTCAGGATGAACCAAGAGGAGTGCTAACAGCTAGGGAACTGGGAAGTTCACTGTTCTGTTGCCAGCTTTCTGTTTTGTCTTTACTTTGTCTGCAATTCAACTGTGATAGAAAGAATGATTTTTAATTATTCTGTAGTGCCTTCACAATGGCCTTTATGGGGCAACACAGTATTTTATGGGAACACATGTACAATGGTTAATATTCCCATTATTCCCAAGATATTCATGCTTGCTCTATGGTGAGCAAGCTAGAACAGAAATCTACATTTGAAATTACCTTTGGTGAAGGAGGTTTGTTTTCATCATCAGAAAAGGAAAAGGTCCTGAGCTTCCTCTTCCGTTTGTCTCGGTCCTGAGCCAGGGAATGAGACAGTTCACTCTGTGTAGGAGAGGATGACAGTGATTTCTTCTCTGATACCTCTGATTCCTCAAGCAATTCATCTTGGTGCTCTGAGGTACTACCCTCAGTCAGAGATTCTTCATCTACCTCATCCTGGTCATCGTCCTCTTCTCCCCCACTGCCCTGAAGAGGTAGAGGGGGGGGAAAAAAACAACTGATGAGAAAATAAAAAAGCAAAGTTTAAGACAAAAGCTACAGTTACAAACCATTTGTCAGTTGTAACCTGAGGGTACAAGAAACTAAGTCTGTTGCTTCAATCGTAGCTGATCAAAGATCACATCCCATATCTATTAAAGTTGTTGGCAGTCTCATACCTGAGGAGATCCAGCTGGAGTGTTATCCACTGAAGCAGAAGAACGTTTCTTCTTATGAACAAAAAAATGTTTTCGTCTCTTCCGTCTTTTATTTGGTTTCTTCATGGCTACTTCCAGGTTACTGTGGCCACCTGGAGGCCTGCCTATCCGCTTGTTTTTCCGCTTTCCATAATAGTGTGCTACCAGGACAGAAGAAAGGAGCATCATGTTGAAATGCACCTTCAATGCCACTACTTATGTTTGTCCACCATCAGGACTGGAAAACTACCAGAAGGACAAGTCCCACTAGAAATTCTAGTTCTGCAAAACTTCAAAATGAGCATATGTCTGTATTTTTCTCATGAATTTGTTATAAAGAAGTGTTACTGATTCATTTTATTTGCCTTTTAAATATTTACTCCCTGTATTTGAAAAGTCCAAAAAGACAAATTTTATACAAAAATAAACAGCTATAAACTTGGTCTGATTTAATCATGCTTTCTGTGACGCTTTGTGTTTTTTAATCATGGGCTTAATGTACTGTTTGTTCTCACAGTGTGAAATGGTTAAATTTAGTTCAAGAAAACCTAAAATACTCAAAAACCTAAAAGCTAAGAAGACAACTTGAAGTTATTTTATTTTGTTCCACAAAAACTGGTAAAAGCAATTCTAATGCCACTAAAATTACAGTTTTAGAGTCAGTTCTTGTCCCAGAAGTTGTCTTCAGAAGATAGAAGTTGTAAGCACAAAACAGTAAGTTAATCCACAGTACTACCACTTAAAATTATTTCCTCCCTCACACACTGGCACATGGATATTTTGTAGGCTTGTGTATGTAGTGCTTGAACTGCTCCTTGTGTAAGCGAGACAATGTACTTTGGATTCCTTCTGGAGCCAAAGCCAGAAGAAAACCCAAAATGTAACACACCCCATGCCCCAGTTTGGTGGAGATCAGCTGCCTACTCACTGTATTTAGTCTTTGTCAGGACAGAGCAGTTCTCTGAACACTTATCCAGCACCATCTGAGGGCCGAAGAGGTTTGGACAACATTCCAGCTTGATACATGTTTTTCTACAGAAATCTGCCACCCGATCTGCCGTCCTCACAACCTCCACAGTTGCACGGTAGCTCTTCCCTTTGTACCTGTTATTGAAAATACCATCATCACTCAGGAATCCTATAATTACCAGAATAAAAGTACTTCACTGAGAGTAAAATGAAAGTATATTGCTTTGAGATCAAACTCAGGGGGAACTTGAGCAATGAGGAGCTCTGACAAGTCCTGGACAACTGACAAGTTGGACTGACAAGTCCAGGAAACAGGTAGTATTGTCTCTTAGGACAGATCCCCAAGAAAAGAAACAAAGGCAACACCAGAGACATGCTTGCAGTAACAGACACAGCAACACTGCCCTGCCAGTGGCTGTTAAATACCATCTGAGAGGACCATCCCAGAATTTAGACATTCTGTTTTCTTTGTCCACAGATGGTTTGCACTTTCTTTGTTTTTATGAGACTGCAGAAACATCCACTCTGGCATGGACAGCTGGTTCCTAAAGCTAAGATGGAGTGCACCAACTCAGCTAATACAGGTAACAGCAGGTAGGCTCTAGTGAGCTATTCTATGCACATACTATGGCAAACAAATGAACTACTGTCACATTTCCAATCAGCTTTTCATCTCACTGCTAAACAATTCATCAGGACAATCACTTGCCATGACTCCACATATTGCTCCTATTTGATTTAAATTAAGAAAAGATTTCTTTTTGTTCATCAGCCTTGCTGTGACACTGACAGATCCACACTGTGAAGTATCTGCCAGAGTCATTAATCATTTCTGCTTTGTTCTCCCAGCACAGCTGCTGGCACGTGTTGGTATCTCTTAGGGTTGTCTCAGGCCTGCAACTATCTAGTTAATGCACTGAAAAAAAGAGCGATATCATCATAGTCCAGATATCCCCAGTGTCACTACCGTGACAAAATAAAGTACACAGCAACTTCAGGAAACTAGATTCCTTTTCCTCGTTCTTCAGCTGTATCTTCTATTTACATTAACTTTTCATATGATCTTCCTGTTGTCCAAATCCAGAGTAATCCTCTGATAAATGGAAAGCTATCTTTTTACACATTACATTGGATCCAACAGAAGAAGTACTGACGTTCAAAACTCAGCAGGAGAGTAAGCTCAGCAAGAAAAGTAAGGAGTGCTCTAGGGCAGGCTGTTGTAGAAAGACTTCTTTGCCACACCATTTCAGAGCACTGCTGTAAGTTAATTTCACAGGAAAAAGATTCCTCTCAGAAATCTGTGTGGAAATGTCATAGGAGTCTGAGAGGCTTTCTAAGCAGTATGTGCTTCCACTTTAAAATACTGACAATTATCTTCAATTGAATTAATTACCTTAAGCCTCACCTGCAGGTCTGCCAGTGCGTGCGCTATGTTGTGCCAGGATCATACTGTTATTATTCCACCACTAGCTACTTACAGGCCAGTAGCAGAGTGCACTTGGCACATTAAGGAGCACTAAAATCACATACACTTCACTAGATGTTCATAAAGAAGTTTGTAAAGATTTGGAAATTTAATGGATGTCAGCATCCTGATATGCTATAAGTAGTTTTTCCTTCTTTGAAATGTAGGAAGTTAAAGCACAGACTGCAGAGAACATTGCTATTGGGATCAACTAAGCAGGGAACAGGACAAGAATTTACTTGGCTTTCAGGGTCTCTCCGTGCCCGTGCCATGCAGCCTCTTCATCCAACTGCAGCTCTCGCAGGACACGGCTGGGTTTGTAAGCTGCATTGATCAATAAAGTGAGAACCTACAGTGAGAGAAGGAGGAGGAGAAAATACATTTAAGTTATTTGTACAATAAATCTGTTTTAAAGTGCCAGTGTAGAATAGAAAATTACTTCTATTCATCCAGACTATCTAGCTTCAAAGCACTCATTCACAGCAAGATGACAGGTACCTCCTGATGCTGCCAAAATAAAAACTGAGAGCAGCAGACACTTTGGGCCTTGCCAGACCCCTCAGGATTTGTCTGCAGAGTCACGAGTGCACCTAGCAATTTCCAAGTCACTGCCCTTGAACTACACATCACTAAATTAAACCCTGAGGCTGAACACCACAAAGCTCGCATAACTGTAGGTAAATCTGAGTGATTATCTTAGAGATTGTTTGATGTGAAAATGTGCCAAAAAATGCTGCAGGATTTTGCTGCCTGCCAACCCATTACTTGCTACAACATCCTACTACAGAACCTTAAGCCCTCCTCTGTTTTGCTTTCATGAACCATGACAAAGCCTGTATTTAGAATAAAATGAGAATTTCTCTGGCACTGTAACATAACTTGAAGTTGTGAACAGCCTGAAGTTTGTGGGGGATAGTGCATGTGTATTCAATTTGTACTTCTCATTTTTAGTACATGCTTATTCCAAATCATTCCCAAACTGGGTGCATCAGAACCTTGGCATCCCAAACTCACAGCTTAGTCCTACTAATGCAGCAGTCCAGAGGTGTACAGTTCAGAAGAAGAATGTTAAATAAAATTTAAGTACCAAACTCTGGGATTCACATATTGAGCAAGGGTCATAATTAAAAATAATACTATTAAAAATACTGTGTGAACTTCTGGCAACATTCAGCCAGGTTAAGCCTTCAAAGTTAAGTGAAGCTGCCACAGAATTTCACACTTCTTTTGGAGTGGTTACATTAGAGTACTGAAACTTGCAGAAAGGATGGAGTGCTTTTTTGCAGGCAAAAATGAAACTTCTTGAATAATCAGCCTGGCTCCTGTCCAGTAGACTCCAGTTTTACAGCATGTCTGCCAGAAAGTCCTTCTTAAGATCCCTCCCAGTATACAAGATAGAGAAGGTAAAATTCCAGAGACATTGAGCCCAATTCCTGCATTTAAAGTGATCGTTTCATGAGAACTCAAGTGTACACATGCAGTTATGCCTTGGGAAACTTTCAACCTCTCAGGTTGGGTAATAACCACCCCATGACCTCTTTGGAGATTTCAGAAAAATAATTATTGCATTGAAATATCTGCAAATCTGCTGTGAAACACCTTCTGGAAAAGAGGCTCTTTGACATTAAAGAATGTCCTTCTCTTCCTATCTTTACCCCTCCCTCAGTTATACTAGAAAGCAACACCACAATTTCATATGATCTTTGCAAATCATATCCAACTTATAAAACATAGAGAACTATTTTAATTTTGCAATTACTGAAAAATAGTTTGCCATTTTTATTAAAAGAATCTGTATTTCCTCTGTTTTAACATCAACAGTGCAGCGTAAAGGAATTTTAGGATTATCTGCAGCTAAACTCTGTTAATTAACATGGAAGTATTTATTGCAGCTATAAAAATACACTAGCTCTTTTGATTGTGGTAATTACATGTTAGTCTCCTCTAACCTAAAAAAAGTTTAGCAGTAGAAGGCTGACTGTAACTCAGATAAATGAGAGGCTTTTACTCTTTCCAGCCAATCCTAAAACAGTCTGTGATTTATAGCTGATCTTGTACTAAAAGCACTCTACTCATTATCAGCTTAAATTTATTAATTACCCATCTATAATTAGAGAGAAATTCTAGTGTTGATGACATGCTGCTCTGGGAAGGTCACTGTGTTACCAGCTCACCTCCTTCAGAACCAGAACGCAGTTCCCAGGTCCCACAGACTGAGGGAGCTCCGCGATCCTGCCTTTGTTAAGGTAAGGCCCTGAGAAGCACCGGTGGTTGAAGTAGATCTTTGGGCAGCAGTACTTTCCATTAATCACCACTGAGAAATGAGAAAGCAAAGATTTAAATCACAGGCCACAACCTCCACAGCAAGGAATGGCTTCTTGCAGTGTGCAGTATTTTGCCTGCTGTGAAAAAGGGGAGGGAAAAGTCTTGAATGACGTTAATTTAGGGTAGTTCCAGCATCATGTTTGCAATGCAGTCATTGCACTGGTTATTAGATGTTGCCAAAATATTTTTTGTATTTCACACACATGCTTGCAAATTGTCAAACTACAGAAGATAAAGTTAGTCATTTATCAGAAAAGAAACATTTTCTCCTGGCTAGTCTGATGTTTCATGGCACTACACCAGTGAGAACAGGCAAGAAGATGACAAACCAAACCCTCTGGTAGCAAAAGTACTTCCTACATAGCAATTATGGATAAATTTTCCAGTCAGGTAATTATCTCTCCCAGACTTCTTGCACCAGAGAAGCTGGCGCAGTAATTCTCCACTGTTTATCCTAAAGTGCAATATAGCATTGCTATGCATTTTTAGACTCTTTTTTCTCCATCAGCAAAGATGCAACTGATGAAGTGACATCAAGTTTTCCAAACCTATTAAACAGTTCAATGCTGCTTAAAATTAAAGTTATGTACAATATGTATTGCAAGATACTTACGTACAAATAGAAAATTGTTTTACCCTAGCAGTACTGTAGTTTTTCTTGATTGAGCAACACTAGCACTTAATTATATTCAGTAGTTGATAACTGGCAGATAAATAAAATGAAGTCAAATTTACATCATGATTCTATTAAAAGCCAATTTAAATGCCAAGTAAGCACAAATCATTTCTCTGAAGCTTGCATTTGGTGCAGCTTCAGACATGCATTTCACTGTACAGAAAACAGCAGAGGAGACTTTTTGTTGCCAAACAGATAGATCTGTATGACTGTTTCACCAGCAGATGTACTTATTCATCACACTCATTCTTGCAACAGTTTAGAAAATTATTAGATTTCGCCATCTGGCACACAAAGCAGTTTACTGTTTTAATTGCTTTTGTTTATCATCATGATGAAGTTATAAAAACCAGAAAAACCTGCTTCCCAAAGCTAGATTCTAACAACTCAAGAGCACAAATGCAGCACACCTGTTATGTTTCTCCCAGTGTTACTAAACATAACAGGTGAAAATAAAAAATCATCTGCATAGGTCACAGGATGCACTTGGCTCTGTGTATCTTCTGCTGTGGGTGGGTGAATGTTCTAGTGTAAAAATCTTACTTGCAGGTTTAATGCACATACCAATTGCAGGACACAAGTAATTGTTCACTTTTGTTTGTTTCTTTCTTTTTTGAAGTTCATCAAATCATCAAGAGATGAAACCCTTCCCTCCTCTGCCCTCTCCTAACAGAAAAGTGTAGAGTGCAGCTGAAAAATGAGGCAGCTGAACTGTTAAGAGGATTTTGTCTTTTGTTAGCCTGCCCTCTCTGATCAATACCTGAGTCAGAAGAGTTCAGCTCCTGGTTCTTTAGTCCATCATGAACTGTCCTTGAAGACAAAATTCTGAAATTAAAAGAAGATTTGGACAAGGGACAGTCACCTCTCAGTTACTAAAGCCCAATAATTTTTCTTTCCCTCCATGACCAGTCCTATTAATCTGCTTTTTATACCTCTCCCATTTCACAATAACAACATGCAAGGCCTGTCAAATTCAGTTTGGAAAGCACTACTGTACTGCTACAGCTACCAGCAACCCTTCCTTGCTTGAAGTACAAGGGCTGCCACGCTGATGAACACATCACACAAAGCTACCAACAATAATTTAAATTTTCTGCTTCCTTTTAACTTTGTTTCACACCTCATGGCACAAGGCAGTGTACAGTCTCACATTCTGCATTTTGAAAAAGATAGGTTTTAAACAAAATACAACCAAAACTGCTCAAGTGCTCTGATTAGAATCCCAATTACAAAACATGGAAGAACAGTCTGCTCTGTATTTTAGGAGCAATGAAAACACTGGCAGGACTACTGACAAATCTGGTGTTTGTAAAGCTGGAAGAGTCAACAAAGCCAACTGTCAGGCTCTCTACTGAGCACTTCTGAGCAGGCTCACATGAAGGGGTTTCATAGGCATGACACAGAGTAAATAGATGAACTACAGATATTAGTAGAACTTTCCTTTTTGGCTATTCTGGGCCACATTTTATCTGGTAAGGAACAACTACAAGTTAATCTACTAAATGATTCACACTAAAGACAAATTTGCTGATCACCTGTGCAAAATCACAGCTGCATGTTAAGGCAGTCACATTTTCTAAGTGTTTTTATTATAGAAACTGTATTTGAGAAGGTAATACAACCAAAAGAGAATCCAGTAATTTTTCCCCTATGAATCACCATTTAAAAAAAGGCTCAAGTGCAAACTTACTAACAGCATTAAGATCAGGGTAGCTTTTCTTAAATGCACTGCAGTTCTCATGGATAACACAATCTTTTAAAAATGAAAGAATTTCAAACCCAGAACTTCAATGACTTGACCTATTCAATAATTCAGCTGAGTTGCACTAGCATTGTTAAAAAACAAACTCCAGGCTTTCTCTCTCCTACTACAGCAGTGCAAGAGGTCTTTTTCAACATCTACAGGAACTACCAGCATGGAGATAAATGGATTGGAGAATCTCTCAACCCTCTGTATAGCACTTCTGTAAAGCTAAAACTCCCCTAGGATAACACTGTTTACCAACTAGAGAAAGAAAAAAACAGACCTCAACAAAAAATAAAAGCAAAAAAATCCTTTTACTTACTGTTTCTCTGGTTGAACAACTGCAATTTTTTTCTGCTTGTTTACTGAAAGGAAGAATAAGAGAATATAAACAGCAAAGCATGGGAGGCAAACAAATTAAACTGATAGTACAATGTATAAATATAAAACCTCATTTCCTCATTACATGACAAAGAGAATATATGATCAAAGTCACTGCAATGTTAGATAGCTGACTCACCTGCACTAGACATGTGCTGGCCCATGTCATTTGAAGTAACCCAAAAGGTTTACTTCAACTTTCACTAAAAATTAAGTAAATCAGGCATGCATACTCCCAGTCTGCTAGGAAATCTCACCTTTTGTGCAACTTTTTTTTCATCATAGCCCCTAAACTACCTGTAATACCAGCCAAAAAGGAATTATATGCTTTCCTCTTCAGCACTCGAAGGTGCTGACCCCTAGCCAAAGGTTAGGTTCATGAGCCTAACACCACCTTAACGGCACAGGGAACTTCAACATTGTTTAATGTTGAAATGTAATTAAATTAGCTGCTTAGAAACACAAATTATTTAAGCCAATTGCTATGGAGGAAAACACTGTAGCAACTAAGTCAACTAGGTGACAGGTCCACTTGCAAATTCTGGCTTTCACAATCAAGCAGTAATATTGAAAAAGGTAATGCAATATGTGCCTCTTCAGCAATTTTGGGCTTTGTCCTCAACAAGGATTGGATTATTTTTTTTTAAAGCATCTCTTCTCTATTTAGTTGTCCCCTTCCCCTTCCTTTTCTGTCCTTGAGGGCAGACATGTCTCAAATTAAGTTTCTCTTGATTTGACTTGCATTAAATGACAGTTCATTCAAATTTTACAATTTTAATACTTAGTTAATAAACGTTCAGGAAATTCTTTACTTTCTCCTAAAGTCCCATTAAACTTTAATAAAGAAATCTCACTAATTAGCTGAGAGAAGACACTATCTTATGCTGCTTACTAGTGTAGTTAAAACAGGTCAGATTTACTATCCCACACTTTGTCATTAAGGGATCAAAACCATCTGGCCCATTTAGAAAGCGAGTCCCCTTTATTTCAATGCCAAGATGTCTACACACTCCACACCACTTTGTTAGGGCATTAATTTTACTTCCACAAGTGCAAGTCTAAAGTCGGTGTCAGGGTCAGGCTTATGGCAAGGACAGCTCAGAAAGCAGTACGTGCACAGCCCAGGTGTGTGCACACAGATGAGATTTCTTCAGTGTGACTCATGGAGCATTTCCCCGGGCTCGTCCAGCATTCAGGGGTCTCAAGCCAACCCTGCCTGTTTTGGAGTCATTGTATGGATTCCAACTGGACCTAACAGCCAGGGGAACAGTTGCACAAGGCATGTATTCTTTGTACATGAGTGTTTCCAAATTCAGTGATGCCTGAAATAAATACTTCTGCAGTAGCCTGCCCTTGAAGGTCTCACCATCTCTATCAACCCAGCCAACCACTGCAAACAGAACAGAGCTGATACCTATTGCTTTGCGAGGAGGTCTGAGCTGATATCCATTTGTCTCACACCAACCCACTGGAAAGATATTCATTGATTCCACGCTCACTATACAATCAGGGATGGGTTTCTTGGAGCCTGTTCAGAAGAGCAAAAATTGAAACAAAACATAAAAATAAACCCCCTCATTTGGTTAATGCTTGCTATAAAATTGCCAGTGAAGCTGCTTTTACTTATGGCATATCTGGAACACAATAGCAATTGCTTATTCATCCCCTTTTATTTACCAAATTCTCTCCTGACCTCATTTCCTTCCTCCTAAAGGCTGGAGATGGGAATTTGCCATCCACAGTTTAGCAGAGATGCACAGTGCATAGTAAGTGCATGCTGATGTACTTCCAATCAAAAAATGGGAATATAATGGAGAAGGGCTGACATAGGTCTATTCTATCTTAATGAAGAACCTCTCTAACAGTTTTCTTCCTAGGTCTGGTCAAAGCTGCTCATAATGCAAGTCACTCATCTGTAAAAACCTTACAAGGCCCTTGCTTTCTAAAAGACACTGATCAGCACTTTGCACAGTGCACTGGCCTTGCACTGACACACTGCAATGCACAAATGCCACTTTTGCCTGGCTTAAATAAGCCACTCATGGTTAACTGGGAAATAGACAATGCAAATGGGGTTCTGCTGTGTTTTCACTGAGGAAACAGTGATTTGCTGCCCATATACAGCAGGCGGCGAGTTTGCTCCAGATACTCTTCAGGTTTGATGATGGTACAGAAATATCAGTGCAAGTGCTACTCTCCTCTCCCACATCACTCACCCTCCAGCTGAAGCCAGAGGTAGGAATCTTTCAGCTTGGTGACTGTAGCAATGCAAACTTCTTCAGGATCAACCGGGTTCACAGCCTCAAGTTTCATATTCTCTTTAAATCCATGGTCAGAAGTTAACTAGGAAAAAGACAGACTACCTCAATAAAATACCAGCTGTATATCCAGTGTATGATATGAATAGCCAGCCATGAGCAGAAGCAACACATAAAAGCTTCAGTGTTTGAGTAACATAGATACTCATGCAGTCAGGGAAGATTTCAGATCATCAGCATATTGAACACAAATAAGGTATATTATGAATGACAAAGCATCAAAGTTTAATCGGCTCTACAGAGAGACCTAGAAAAGGACATGTTTGTACTCAAAACTAAGGATGCTGAGACTCACTGAAAGGATTGAGTGCATTCTAAGCAACCAGGAATTCTCTGCTGCTTGCTACCTAAGTGATAAGTCTGACAAATAGTCTGACCAGGCTCTCTATTCTGTTATGTTAGCTTGGAAATCTATTTCATGTATAAAAATAACATTCCTGCCTCATCCAAATGATTTATGGCAGACAGCAAAGGAAGCTTTCTTCTAATTTTATTTTTTTTTTTATAAATAGGATTTTAACTTATTTACCAGTTTAGTCCACTTCTACAAAATATTTCCTAAAATATAAGAATGGTTATCTATCCAGATAAGAAGTAATGGCCAGACAGAGGGATCTCCCTCCCAGAGTCACTTGGCAAAATAATGACAGGATCAATACAATAAGAATTCTGTAACTAGCCTACAGTGATCAACTCTTCTCAGGAAAGGGATAATAAATTCAATGACCTGTTCAAAGATGCCACAGCTTACAAGACAGAACAGGGGCATCAACAATTCATAGCCAGCAACATTCAACAAAAAATGGTAATTACTCATTTTAATTTCTTCCCCTAAGCCCAAGTATTGTAAATGGAATTGAAAGGCAGGTGTTAATAGTACCCTTTTCTGCTTGACAAGGTATTCTGCTCTGGGATACAGCACAACTGTCACTGAACCAACAAAAGCCCAAAATCTAGCAAGTACTTCAGGCACTCATTAATGTAAAACGATTATTTGGTACTAATTTAGGATTACTTGGTATTGATTAATATAATGGAATGAATTTTTCAATGTGAAAGGAAGGAAGATTGAAAGAGTGCACTAAGTAAATGAAAACAAGGTCTATTAAAAGGCTTTGTTTCCACAATTGCCTGAGTGCCAAGGATCAATACTGTTTTATGAGTATTCCATGGACTCTTACACACCTCAATTTTATAAAACGGATTTATGAATGGACTCTTACACACCTCAATTTTATAAAACACTCATTTCTTTTCGATCTGCTTTACCACAACTGAAGCATTTGGTCCACCACTTAATTATCTAGGAAGCTGGCATTCATCTACTACTATTCACACACATTTGCACTTAAGAAAGTTCCTCAGCTATCACAGGTACTTTTAAGTAAAAAACATGCAGAAGGTTCTTCTCCATAGAATCAAGAGTACCATTCATATAACAGAGAGATTTTTCTGCAAGAGAACCTTACCAAAGGGAAGCAGCTCTGGGGAGCTGCCTCAGCACCACATTGTTTGAGGTAGTCTGCCCAATCAAAGTCCTGCCCAGGATAACCTAGGTAGAGAGAAAACAAAGAAGTTAGTGAAATGGCAGGAGAACATATGCCTCATTTCAAGCTGACATGGAGTACAGATCAGTGAAATCTGTTTGGGTCACTCAGGTCTGTCAACTGACTAGGGCTTCCCTAAGCCATCTGAGGTCAGCCCATAGCATTGTTCCCAAGTATTTGAGATACTCTCTTTTCATTGCAGAAGGCCCTTGGGCACTGCCTCACCTTGATTCCCACTGATAACTTGAAATGGTGTCAGGTTTCACTAACTCAAAGCTCCTGTTTCTCAGAATTTGATCTTTGTGGCTCTATGCTTGGGCTATTACATGTAATTCTTTTGCAAAAGTGTAGTCCTAAACATATAGCACTCTGAGGATTGGAAATCTGCTTCCTTCAAAGAGGAGCAAGCATGACAAGTTTGCACGACCATACCTGGTGGGGGACTGAGATGCAAGCCATTCTTCATGCTCCATTGCACAGGGAAAATACCGGCACTGTTGACATGACAAATATAAGACTGGCTGGTTGTACGCTCTGGCCTCAAGTCATCAATTTCTATCATGAAATATTTTTCATTGAATACCTGTAGTTAGCCAAAAGAGAACCATGTGATCTTGTAAGTAGCAGACTCTGATCTACTGCTCCCTCCTCCCCATTTTGGTAACTTCATTAAACAGCAACACAACATGATGGAAACCTTAAAGTATTGAATCTAAAGGATTCATAAAGCAGCAGACTCCTCTGCATCATCTGGAAACGTACAAAAATAAGCAATAATAAAAGACATAAAATGTATGAGCACTTAAAAAGGTGATCAAGTGCTCTATGAAATTTTATTTTGAAAAATGCAGGGAAGTTAAGACCTTGCAGTCCTATTACCATTCTGTAATAACAAAACTGCTTATTTCAACAAAGCTGAACTGTGTCTAGGATAGACTGTCACAAGTAAAACAACTATACTGCTGAAGTAACTACAAGCAGGACATGAAAATACCAAGAAAAGTAAATGCTTGGAACTGGTTCTGCCTTTTTAGTAATAAGCAAATATCTTGGTTTATTACATCAAAGCAGGTCTCTTTAGAACCTTTCACCTGTTTACTAAAACAGGACAACAGAAGTTGGTCAAAACCCAATTACGTTGGGGAGTTTTCATTTCAACTTTTAAATCCATGTATGGGCCCATGTTTAAAAGCCAGGGTACTTAAACATCAGAGTTTGTGCACAGGAACAACATTAACTTTTGCAAAAAAAACCAAACAACCCAAACAAATCACCACCCAAAATCTATCTTCAGTTGGACACTCAGATTATAAAGGATTATATCTAATTTTAAAAATCTGGGTTTGACAATTATGGCATTTTGACTTTTGAACTTGTATATTTATGAACTCCTCCCCAACTTTCAAATCCAACATCTTCACCATCAACAGTATTTTTTTCCTTGGCAACCTGTCCCCTATTACTTCAAAATAATTTGAAAACTCATTCAATATTTTACGATAATCAATTAATGAAAACTACCTGAGCATTTAAGAAGCAGCAATTGAATTGAATCTTAATATGACAAGTTAAAGAACCCTGGTACCTTAAGAACTGTAGCAGGAGAGATTACAAAAGGAGCCATTGGATCCACAGCCTCTAACTTCATGCCTTCAGAAAAAGAATGCACTCCAATCACAGGCTTATCCTAAAAATGAAGTATTAGAGTTACAGATTAGGTGTTACATGTGTTGAACTTCTCGATGTACTCAGTGTAGTAACCCTGCACTCCTCTAGAAGGTCAGTGATGCAGAAGACCAGCTCATGAACAACCAGAGATGCCATTATAAAGGATAAGAACCAGGGACTTTTCCCAGTATGACAACATATCTGTGATGGGTGTGTTGTCTAACTTAACAAGAATTGTACCAGTATGATTTTTTTAAGACAGAGAGACAAAAAAAATTAAACCAACAAAACAGCCTAGGAAGTTCCAGTAACAGTAACTGACTTATCTAAATAATTTCTAAGGAACATAGTATTTTTGTGATATCATCCACAGCATTAAACTACGCATTTTGTGTCTTTACCTTAAAAAGATCTGTAGGAACTGATGACTCCTCTTCCTCCTCTTTCACCTTCTTCAGGATCTCTTGCCAATCTGCTTCACTCTTCAAGGACCTAATGGCTTAATTAAAAAGAAAGGAAAAGAGCAAATGAAGTAATCTTCTTTCTTCTTTTCCCTCAGGAAAGTTGATTTCTGCTCCTCCAAGTGTTAAACTCCCATCTGTTCAGAATCTGTGCAGATACCTTCCTTCTTAAAAACGTACAGTTTTCTGAGACATTTGGATGTGTTACAAAAAGGGACTGAATTCCAGCAGCAGTATCAACCATACTCTGCCCGGTCTGGTTCTGACAAAATGGAGGTCACATCAACACTGAGGAAAACTCCAGTCAAGTCTGTGAGCATATCAAAGGCTCTTACATGGGTAAGGAAGCAAGTCTAGTAGCTAACTAGTATTTTTAAAAACCATTTTTCATGTAAATAATGCTGCAGAATCCACCCATCTCATTTCTGTCAGTGGTTTGACATCTGCCTGTTTACAATCCTGATTTCAGCAGAGAATGCTCCAGTGCCAGCAAAGACAGTATGCTCAGTCACTTCCATGGAAGTTGTTTTGTTTTCCTCAGCATGATTTCTTCTTGCCATAAGGGGAAAATGTTTTAGAAAACCCACAACAAAAACAACTGCTCTAAACAACCTGAACTTCCCCAACTAAAAGCACAGTGTGCCAGAACCCTGGATGTACACCTGCCTTTGCAGAAAGAATTTAAGGTAAATGTTCAACGTTTTCCAGTGTTATTCCAAAGTTTCTCCTCATCAGGAAACATTACATCATTGCTCAGCTCCTAAGAAACCCCAACCCCTTTTTGCTTCAGTCATTTTACACTCCACTTCCTCAGTGACCCACTGACATGCATATGCCTGGAATACATGGTAATTTGTCCCCTTCTCTGCCCTTGCTTCCACACACTCATTCCCTGGGCACACATTTTTAAGGACTTTTTCGTATCTACATAATACCTCTTTAGACAACACCTTTATTAGCCCAGGGGACCTGGAGTCAGCTGCAAAAGCCTGCTGTGAGCAGTACTTTAACAGATGACTTCCCCTCAGCCCAGGATACCTACCAAAAATAGCCATGAAGGCAATCTCTGCCTCAGTTCTTCCCTTTCCACAAACAGGTAGAAAGTTTTGACAGCCAAAAGCATTTAGCAGCTTTTGAATAAGTGGGTAAAAAGTCCTGAAGGACTAGATACTGGTGGTTTCACTTATATTTCCTTAGATACAGTATTTGCCAGATCACATGCCAACCGCATGCACCCAGAAGGCAGATTCAGAGCACCAAAGCAGCAGCAGTTTTCTCTAGCCTCTTATCACCATATAAAAGATAAATGTTTTGAAGTACCTAAAGGTGGTTGCAGGCTATATCCATGTTGAGCTGCCCACCCCACTTGATGAAGGAAAGGGTCCAAGTAGAATATCCATTGGTCGAACTTGTCAGAATCCTCCAGCCCTTCAAATCGCAGCTTAAGTCTCCCGCCAATGTTGTCTACCACATTGACTATCCAGGCTTCCAGGGAATCCCGGGTGTTTTGCAATTCTAGTCGGGAGCCTGGTGCAATCAGATCCAATGGATTTTTCCCTCTGTGAAGCTAGAAAAAGAGTACAAATTATTCTGTACAACAGAACAAAATAATCCCATACTTCCCCTTCTTTGTACGCACTCCATTTGCATAAATAAAGTACGAATACATGTCCCTTACTAACACAACACAAAGACAACAGAAATGATAATGTTTAGAATCACTGGTGCTTGCAGCAGAGCTTCTGCACTGCCTGTAGATACAGTCACACATTTCACTTAAGTTCCTCATAATTTTCAGAAGCATCATCACTTATATATTGAAGGTCTGAAGGAAACATGAAAAATCTCTTTCTAAAATTGAGTCATCTAGCATGCAAAGATGACTAGACAGAAAAGATAAAAAGAAAAATGTTAGTTGTGAGAAAGATGCCAATGGCATTTTTCAAAAAAATTACGTTCTGTACTTTACCACCAGACACTGATATGGGATTTAAGTATTAAGTGCAGAGGAGGGGAATAAAAACTTGGTTCTTCATGAGCAAAGAAGCAGGATTTAAATGAAACAACAACCTGCCAATTAGTAAAAAAACCCCATAACTTTAGTGAAAGAAGCCAACTGAGGAAAGGGGACAAGATAAATAAAGTACTATTTCCTTAGTGCTGTATGAAGGAGGAGCCAAAGAGAAGACTGAAACCTAAGGGAGTTTGAAAAAGGTCTTCTGATAGCATTAATGAACAGCCCAAACCTGCAGGATTGATATGTTCCAGGCCAACACTAACAAAATTAAATACTGTAAATAGGAAACAATAGAGAGTGGAACTTTAAGGTGAGCAGTGTACTATAATGCTCCCTAAAGTTAAAAAAGGAATTGGACTGACAATCTAAATAAAGGTTACCTTAATGACAAAGGTGAAAACTAATGCAAAACTAATGCAGCACACTGGAGCACTTACCCCCTCCAGCAGGTTGGCAGGAGCACTGCATGCTCCTTTCAGCACCCGCTGAAGGAATTCCTCCTGGTCAGGTATCTTCTCCTTGATACCTAAATGAAAAGTGAAGACAGAATGTGATTCTTTCTTGCCAGTTAAAGATCACTCAGACAACAAGACATTACCATATTCTCACACTGCCTAGTTCACACGTATCTGCCACACACTCACCAGTAACACCTTAAAAGAAGGAACAAAACAACAACAAATACTCAAAGGAAATCACAAAGCAGCAGAATTTGGTGGGTGATAATTAACATAACCAGAAGCCTCTATAAAAATAAAACCAAATCTGAAACTAAGCTAAATGCTCTATGGTGAAAGAGCAACCCTCTACTGTAAGTCACAGGATTTCAGAAAAACATGGCAGACAATCTCAACCTGTCATCACAGCAATACCATCTGAGCTTAACAGCAGTTATGAAGACTAGCTGCCAGGCTTACAAAGGACAAAAGCATGGTTTTTGTATGCACGCCCCACTTCTGCACATGGAGCTAATACCTTCAGGCACTTTGAGAACCTTCTCGTTCTGCTCACACCAGCCAATGGGGTGTAAATCAGCTGTCATGATATCACACCAAAAGTCAGCCTTGCGGTCTTCCCCGTAACCATCGTAGCGCAACAGGAGCAGCTGCCCACAGGTTGTAATGATGGTGGCTACCCAGTACGTGTTTTGGTCAGACTTGACAGCTACTTCCAGCTTCATACCAGGGGCAAAACCATTCTGCAAACTTGTATCTACCTGAAGAGGAAGAAGACCATTACATTTGAGCACCTCCCAGAAACTTCATGGAACAATGGGGGGAACAATTTATACATGTTCATCAGCAAAAGAACTAAAGTCAAATGCCATCCAGTCTTTTCAAAGAAACAACTTTAAAAGAGTATCTTGCAACTCTTCTTACTGCCCTGGACAAACACCTCACCCACCACTAAAGGGCTTTCCAACTCACAGCTGGACTCTCAAGCAAAACTAAAAGTCAAACTCAGCAATGCAACTTTGACTTTTTGTGTTAAACTGTTTATTTCAAGTTCTTTGGACAAAAAGCCTGTTTAAAGTAAATGCATGTGCTTTAGATAACACTACCACTGCCTCTTCCACCATGCAAATTTAAGAAGGCATGAATCTGCTCAAGTTGCAGAATAAGGGTTTTTCATGTCTCTCTCCAACAACCTAAATAATTCTGTAGGCAGCACTGTTGCCTAAATTGCATAGAACATAAACAGTACGTGTCCTTTAGCAGCAAGTACTCTGTGTGGTGGTGAGGAATCTGCACACTAATCACATACTGAAATGTGAACTTAAAAAGAGAAAGCAAAACATTAAGTTTCTCATATTCCTAATACCTCCCAGCTCACACACTCCTGAAAGAGCAGAGAAGCCCTGTTCTGATCTCACTACAGAATATGACTGAATTATGCTCAATTCTGTGGCCTTGGTCTTAATTAAAACTAACATGTGGATCTCCTGTTCCCAGCTAAATATAACTGCTGTTTTCTTTCTTAAGTGGTCCTAACTTCCATTTCCTCTTTGAATCAGCTGCAAGAAAGACTTCCAGTATGATGCAGATGCAGTAGACATTTTCTGGGTTGTTTTTTACCAGTTCCGTGCTGATGGTTCAGTAACTGCCACAGCTCTTACAGTCTCATCAGCCAGCACATATTGGTTTGCTAAAAATAAAACTAAGAGAACCACTTCAGAAAGTAAAGCATATGCCTCTGTTAACTGCTCGCATCCTTTAGGTTAATACCTTTCCCTGAGAGAAAATCCTTTTTTAGAACAAAATCAGCAGGACCCGATACCTGCAGACATTTTGAACTGATATTACAGAGCTCATCTCTTCAAAAAGATCATTGCTTTGCTGAAGAGATATTACTAAAGACTTCACATTCTGATTCCTGAAAGAAAAGCCAGGAGCTTGACACAAAGTCTGAGAAATTGGGAAATCTGTGCAGCTCTCTATGTCCAAACTTTCAGCAAAGTCTCCTGGTGGAGAGAGCTGCATGCAATGAAACCACGAGCAACAGAAGAGCTTTCCCTGAAGTCAGGTGCGTTTTTCAAACCCTGTCACTTCTGTTCCCCGGTGGATAGAGCAGACACCAAGAAGTTAGCACCCTCTCCTGGCGGCTGGGCAAGACGAGAGCGCTAAGCAGCTTGAAGCACCAAGCTTGGTTTCTTTAAGCTGGCTTCCTGAGCAGGGTAGCTAGCAGGAGGTGCGGTGCTGCCCACAGCACCGAGAATTATTTTCCTTGAAGCAGCAGGTCTGAGCCGGCAGCCTCCTGCTGCACACACAGCGAGCTGAGATGGTCAGGTGCTGTGCTTAGGCAGCTCTGAGCCCAAATCCCTCCTTCCCTTGGAATACTATCCATCCTTTTGTGTTATGTCACAGGCTAGACCTGGAGATCCCATTCAGCTCAGAAGCAGATAATGATGAAGAATGAACATAAAGTGTTAAGAGCATACAAGAACACCCAGCAAATACATGTGTTAAGGTGATGCTGAACACTAATTTTACTAGAAGTTTACATACATTTATAAGTTCCAGAAAGGAATGAAGAAAGAACATTCAACAGTTCTAGAGAAAGTCTATTAGGGTAGGATCACAGCACTGGTACCCAGTGCAACTCAAGGATTTTGTAAACCTTTTTCCTGCTAGATTGCAGGCAAAACAGTCACTTTGATTTCAATACTGCTGGTTTTTAAAAATGAAAACAAATTAAACACAGAACACAATTTAAGGAAGTAGCTTAATTTCCTAATGCATCTTGCTCATAGTAAGAACAAAACTTTCAGAATTAGTATAAGCCCACAAAAATAAGAAAGTCCTTCCTCCCATCGACAAATCCAGTTCTTTGTTAATGCAGGCTGTGTAATCATGGATTATATTTTCTTAACCTGATTACGTAGTCTCCTAAACGTTAGGTCTCCTAAGCGTTAGGTATTTCTCACCCACTTCTCATACTGGTAGGCTGATCATAGTCTCAATGCAGCAATATTTAAAAAGAACCAAAAAAAGATCTTAGGTTTCCATCTAAACTGTATTTATATTACTTAATTTAGTTATTTATACATGCCCACTTGCTCTTTTGCCAGTATTATTCTTCAGCTTTGGTTTTTCCCCCTCTGTCTTTTTGAGAGTGCAAAACTATCCCCTCTTAGCTTTCCTGATGGTAGATTATAAAAATAAGTCATTCTTCAAGTCAAGCAACTGGCACCACACAGATTCCAGCTGAAGGGACCACCAGTCACTAGCACTGTATCAGTGAGACACTGTCAGAGAGACATCAGTGCCTGTATGCTCTCCACTGAAAAATCTCTCACCTGATATAGCCTGGAATCACACCAACATTTTTTTTAGGGCTTTGTCACACAGATAGTCTGGCACTGTCCACTGGGAGGCACTGAGGTTCTCCTCTGCCTTTTCCAAACCATTACCTTCCAAGGGACAGCAGAAACACTGAGTACACAACCTTGCCTATCGACTTTCTATTAACAGCAAGAGCTAGGTGGTGTGACGCTGCTGTAAATATGCTCCTCTCTCTGCTTGTCGATTCGCTGTCAGCATTAAATTTCCAAAATTTTATGCCAAGCTTATTACAGAGAACATAAAAATTGGCCTCCAAACAAATTCTGAGAGAACTCTGCTGGCAAACACCTGATGATCCCCCTCCTGAACATGCGGCCACCTATTCTCATGCTCACGCATGACCCCTGCACCACACTCCAGGCACCCCAAGTCCCCTTTCTAGCTGCCCAGAGGTGTGGGGTGCAGAGCGTGGCCAGCCAGGCTCCCCAGGCACAGCCCCAGGTGAGCACCCAATGCAGCAGGGAGGGACTGGGGACACAGCCAGGCTGTGCACACACCTGCTCACTAAAGAGCTCTCCATGACAGTATTACTTGCACCAGCAAAACTGCACTGGTTTCTACACAAGCAGGGAATAATAACATTGCATAGCTGCAATGTTAACTCTGCTGGCCAGCACTGTAAAAGCTGACATTATGGTTAGTTTGTCTAACGTGTGGCTATGATAGCAAGCTTCTTCAGCAGAGATCATTTAAGGAAAACCACACCAGAGGAGCAGAGAGACTGCTCCTCACACCACTGCAAAATGCCCCCTCTCCAATTCCAAACTGCTCTCTCAGTGTGAGCTGCATGGACACCAACACTCTGAGTAAACTTTCTCTTGCTAGAGCCTTATCACACCAAGGAAAAACCAAGCAAGCACAGGCCTCTCTCCCCATCAGAAATGAGACACCTGGATGTTTATTCTGAACAAAAGCTTATAATTACCATCCAGTGTATGGAAGACCTGCAACGTCCACATTCACTGTGCATATTTACTACTAACACAATTGTAATATTTTAATAAATTCTTTAATGTTTTGCACTTCTCCAGGTTACTTTTGGACTCAAAATGCTTTGTGATCCTTCTGTGAACAGATCGCTGTTGTCTTGCTGATTTAAGTCTCCCGTACAGTAAGTGGTGACACCGGATCTAAACGCCTGAGCACAACAGAGTGCTTTCCAAGCAATGTGCTACACACAAGTCACTACCCTCCCTGCCACAGTAAACAGCCACAGCCTGTCTTTGAAAGACTGTTAGATAGTAAATGTAAGAAACAGTGAGATAAGGATACAAGCTGGCAGCCTGGAAGGTGTTTCAATTCTTGGAAGAAATCCAAGAGGTTTGGAAACAAGCTCCATACAGCTCACCTTCACTGATGACCCAGTAGAAGAAGCCAGACTCACATTCAGATCTCCTCCAATGGGAGAATGCACTCCAAGATTTTACTGACAAACATTTCATTAAAGATATCCAAAAGCAAAGACAAGGGCTTATCAACACTTTACACTATCCATTAAGCCTGTGATTGTTAATTATCCTTAGTACTACAGTCAAGTGTTTGGTAGCGTTATTATTTTCTCCTTGGCTTTCTTGAGAGCCACCATTAAGACCTTTTTTAACAGCACATTTGAGTTATGCTGTTTAAGAACTATGCCACCAACTTTTTGAAGCTAGCTCCCCCATAGCAGGTTGTCCACTAGCAAAGGAAAAATAGACTTGCCAGCTTGGGCTTTACAAGAAAAATCAAGCTTATCTTCTGGTGCAGAAAATAATAGAAGTCCCTTAGCTTTCAGCATGTGGGGATAGGATTACCCTGTGTTATATACAGAGAGGAAGACAAAAAACAATAAGAAAAATGTGAAATTCCTCATTTCTCTTTATTCTGAGAAACATGATTCTAGTTAGTCTTACATAGATCTGAGATCATCAACGTATTCAAAGAAATATTAAACATTCAGGGTATCAAAAAAACAATGTAAAGATGGGAAGCAAACACACAGTCCCTTACTCACATGTTTAAAAGATCCATGGGGAGCTGCAATTGTTCCTGTGTCTTCTAGATACTCATCCCAATTGAATTCCATTTCTTCCACACTGGAACCAGCATCTGAAAGAGAAGCCAAACATGTTCTATTTAGCAACCTGTTGGCTTACGTTTTAGGCCATGAGGAGCTACAGCAAAAGCCACTTCAATTCCAAATGACTGAACAAACAAGTGCATGATGAACTTCAATTATGCATTTCAAGACACAGACAACACTTCTTAATCTATCTTTGTATGTGAAAAGTCCTTTATGTTTGATTTGGTCTGAAATATAGTGATATCCTGAGGAGAGGAGAACACAGGCAGAGGAGTTCTGTAATTGTATCAACAAAGACAAGAGACTCAAAAAACAGTGCATTCTGAACCATCAGAGTATTACATTAAAAAACAACCAGGAAACAGCAATACAGATAGTAAGAGGTTTGAAAAAAAGACTAAAAAAAAATGGAAATAGGACTCATCACTTTTAAAAGTTAGACAGTATTTATTCAGATGTTATAAAACACAGAGAAGGATTCAGGGTGGTTCTAAAGAAAACAGATCAAGGCAAAACTGAAATCAAGAATACCCAAACCAGTTACTTCAAAAAGAGCTTATAAATTGCAACTGCTTCTTTAGCCTAAGTAAACCTCATTTCTAGATGTATATAAAGCAAAAATTAAGTAAAACCACTTAAGCCACAGTTCAAAACTCACTCAGGCTATTAGAGAAGCAATCAGCTGTAGTGAGCCACATGACCAATTAGTCAGATTTTCTATTATTGTTGTCAAGCCTGTCTGCCAGCCCCAGTCTCTGCTTCAGTTCTTGGCTCAATTCCCTGCTTCCCTCCTATTCCTGTTTTCTCCAACACATAACCCACTCTGCTGAAAAGACACCACAACCAACACAGGTTGGATTTCAGGTCCTCTATTTAGTTCATCACACAGCCACATTATTTTTTCCCTGCAAGCACCACTGGGATGATGAGTGAGGGTCCCACCTCATGTAAGCAGCATTTTACATCTCAGCACATAAACTAGAACTTCAGGTAAAGCAGCAAAAGAGATATTAGAGATAAGGAATACAAATAAAGCTTTTTATTCTCACTTTTAGACTGATTCTAACATCTGCACTGTAGTTGTTTTTATGAATGAACATGAGATATTTCCATCTCTCAGTACCAGGAAACCTGATACTGTGTTTATATTTGAAGACAGAAATCTCTGTATATCACCAGCACTGGAAGAGCTCAGCAGTTACATGCTCAGCAGAGGTTTCCTACATGCTCTGCATTTCTCAGGACGGGTGGGAACTTTCTTTCAAGGAGTAGTAGTTTGAGTAGGAAATATTTTCTGTCCAAAAAAATGAATGAAATACTATTACATGCCCTTATCAGCCCCGTGAACATGCTGACAACCTGCTAAGTATGCTCCACTGCAGTCCATAGGCTGGGATAGAGAGAGACAAATATTTGTCCAGAAGTCTGAGCTACTTTAAATCCTCTGAAAAACCTATAAGTCTTGAGTGTGAAGTAGGTTCATTTTCTCTTCAAACTGATTGTTAACTTCATCTTCAACTTCCCATTGTAATTCCAGGAATTATCATTCCAAATTTAGCAATGTATATTCAGTTAGCATTTGCTTGCTGATGACAGTATCTGTTTTAGAGACAGCTCTTATCTCTCCCAAACTCAATTTCATTTTGCTATTTTTAAACAACCACAGTTCATTATATTGGCCTTTCACAAGCCTCAGAGCTCAAAAAACTCAAGAGCTTGAATATCACCATCACTTTTAGGGGACAATATTTAACTTACTGAAGAAATAACCTGGAGAAGGACTGAAGCAAGTAATTGTATTTTTTAAAATGTTGAGTGAATAAATAGGTTAAGGCACAGACCACAGCTGTTTGAAAATTAGAGTAGAGCTGATCAAAGCTTTGGCTGCAAGTCATTCTAAGAAAAATATAATTTTATTGTAAAATGTAGATAAAACAGATAAAGATATCTTAACTCAATAAACCAGCTTTTTACTTTAATATAACCATAAAAATGCATAGAGTTCACAGCTGCAGAACCAAAGCAGGAAGAAACATCAGCTAGAACGCAACATCTATGGTCAGTCAAAAGACTGGACTTCATCTGATTTCTTCTCCTACCAAAACAGAGAAAGCCAGCTCACCCTTGCCCACTGAGAAGCACCCAGCTGTTCAACTGCAGCAACAACCCCATTTTAATCCAACTCCAAAAAGCACTTTGTATGTAAAAAGCACTGCTTGCAGTGCCTAATGCATTCCTGTTTGCAGAGAAACATAAAGCAACGTGACTGCTCTGTGCTTTTTAACAACTTTGAAAGCGAAGTAGCTCAATCTGGGAATACTACACGGATCTTGAGGCTTTCCAGTCGTGCTCTTTACTGCACCAAGTCTTCAATAACATGTTATCATCAGATAACTGTCTAAGGGGCAGTTAAGCTCCTTAAATGAGGCACAGGTCACTTAACACACTGAAAGGGTCAATTAGTAACTTATGTTGCCGCTTAATTGCTACAAGGAGCTCCTGAGAAAAGTCAGTTTGCATGCTGCTCTACCTAGCCTTTTGCCTCTAACTACAGTTAAAACCAGTTCCGAACTGGATCAGTTACCACAGGTCCTTTGTCACTTCACTAATCCATGGTCTCTGCATCCTGTTTTAATATCTAAAAGAGCAGTTTCCTTCCAGGCCTGTGCTGCACTGAGAAGGGCTCAGATCACTTTGTAATGTACAGTGCCTAAATCTCACCAGCACACTCACAAGCTCCTCTTGCTATTAATTTTTCACAGAGAAAATAAAATAAAAAACCCAACAAATTCCTGTCCAACACTCACTGCAAATTTAATGCTATTCCTGCTTTATTTTAGGGAATGCTGCTGAGTCAGAGGGAGTCTTCTAAAAACTGACTTAAAAATGGATCCGGGACTTTGGCTGTTCCTTTCATTCATGAGTTTAACTCGGCTTGCACTTACACTTTACTAAGGTATTACAACTAAATGAGACTAGGTGATTAACCTCTGTACTAAGCATGCAGAGCTGGGGAGTTCAGGTGCTTTCCATCCTTTAGGAGGCTGACAGAGCTGAAGGTTGTCCTTAGCTGGAGAATTTAACAAACCTATTTACTGCTTCCCATCCAGGGCTTTGCCACAGCATTCCAGGTTATTTAGCGCAGCACTTACTGAATCAATGCGGAACATGAAAAGCTCATTGAATAAAGCTCCAAGCAAAAATGCTGTATGAGGTTTCACAGTGAGAGCAATAAATTATTTTTTTAACTGTGGCATGAGATTGGGACTACCTAAACCATGAAAAATCCCAGAAATCAATTATCTGTTTTTCATCATCAACATCTGAATTGCAGAAACAGTCCACAAGTGTGGCAAAGCACCACCTCTCTGGTGAAGCTCATGCTAGCTGCACATTTTTGAGAGATAGAATCCAATCACTTTTCTTGTTTTATTGGCAGGACAGTTGCAGCAGAGCAGGGCCTGTTTAAATCAAGCCTTTGATCTAGTCTGTTGGTATTTTTTGCAAGACCCTATTGCACAGCACCATCTTCATGGGTTAACAAATACTGGGATATGTAGAGGACCAGTTTAATGAAGCTAGATTCCTGAGGGCCCCTGTGTCTCTCTTTAACATCCTGATCAGTCTGAATTCAAACTACTTAATAAAACCTCAGGTATTTACACCAGAAATACTCACTTCTGTAAGAAAATTTGTGAATTAATATTACAGATGACAACTCACTAAACCACATTTAGTCTTAAAGAACAATGTATTATTCCAATGCTCCAATGCTGCACGGAATAATAGAGCCACTCATTAGCTCAGTGGCAAAGCACAATTTTGGCAAAGGCAGGGAAAGGAACCAGATGTGATTCTCATCTCTGTGGCCTCACCACACAACTAGTTCTTGTCAGTGAAGCTTTCAAATCAAGCTAAGATCTTCTGCAGTAATATTTGAGAAGTATCCTACAGAGCTTCTGCGGAAAACACTTATTCACTCTGGAGGTGAGAAAATCCTATGTAAGAGTAACAGAAGTTTCCTAAGTAGGTATTATCGCTTCCCATTTATGACCATGTCTACTAACGTTATTGTGAACACTAACTCTTCCTTTCTGATTTTTACCTTTCATTGTCCTGCTGCTCCCTGATACACATAGGAAAAGAAGTAACACTGAATTGTACCATTTGGATACAAGAAGATAGGGAAATATTAGGGACATTGGCCCTTAAAAATACCTGGAATGGAAACAGTCAATACCAGACTGTTTTGATCTTTGAATTCAAGTTAAATTCTCACTGCAAACAATTATCATGCATCTTTAATGTGGTTTAGTTGAAGACTGTCATATTGGACATTTAAGAACATCACATTGAAGTCTGCAAGACATTTAAGGCTAACCTAAAGGTTTGTCACCCCGAAACTTAGATACGTTTCAATCTGATTTTAATAACAGTGAATCTTTTCCATCTATACCAGCTGCAAGGCCATGAATAAATAAAGACAGGTTGGGATTTCAGCAGCTGAGAAAGACTGTGACAAGAATAAAAGTTGTCTTTTCCCCTTGTAATGCAGGAGATCATCACAACCAACAACCCTGATAACTGTCTGGGTTTTTGAAGGCAGAAAGCTGGTATATAAAACCAAAAAGACAAAGGGGAATCTCCAAAAACTGCTAAAAATCATCAAGTGGAAAAAATTCCATCAGTCAAAGAACATGAAGAGAATGTTCCAGTAGTGGTTGGAACTGGTCTAACTCAAAGCACTTCATGAACAGTATCAGAGGGCACAATAACAGCAATGTGCTCATGCTTACACGGGAAGCGTTTGCTGGGAACCACCTCTGAACTCGCAAGTAAAACTCTCTTCAGTTACTATTTCCTTTCACAGCTACCTGTACTCAAACCAGGCACAAAAGGGATGCTCAGGAAAATAGCTGTTGAGTAATTTCAAGACAGTATCAAACCCTTCCTAGCTATTTCAAAAGCACATAGAAAGGACTGTGTGACCTCTGATACTTTTTGAGGAAGATGGAAAAACATGAACAAAGGTTTTAGTACAGACGGATGTGCTATTAGCTTGTGAACACCCTACTGCTGACCACGTATACACCTTCTTGCTGTTCTCAGCTGCTGAAAGCCTTTTCTCTTTCTTACATTATGAGACACAAGTCGTTCCACTAGCAGAGGAAACAGCGTTTGCAAGTGTCTGGAGTCATTCTGCATGCATGTGCATGCAGCTCTTTCTTGCTTATTTAAAGATCTAATGTTGACAACAACTTGACTGATTTGCAATAATTAATAATCAAAAAAACATATTTCAGCATCATAAAGCAGATGACAGCATTTTGCTAAAAGCACTGTAGATTAAAATAACATTTAACATTGCTTCAGTAACACTGACAGAAATTAGACTTCCATAAAGTAAAAGTACAAAAACTAGTGAATTATCCTATGAAAGGAGTCGCTTGTTGGACAAGTACCAAAGGGAAGTAATACTCAAACTCAGTTCTAATCCAGTTGTTTACACTGATAGCTATAAATGAAAAATTACATTTTATCAACTGTACCAACACTATAGGCAGTGACCTCCTCAAGTTAAAGAAACAAACCATGGCAGGCAAGTCAGAAAAATGGATGGGCCCTACTTCCTTAAGAGTGCACAATCCCATAACTGCTTCAGAAAGCCATTATTATCCCCAGCCATCCCAGAGCAACACTCTTCCCAACCTGGCATTTCAAGGTGAACCAAAACCTGAGCTAGTTTATCATAATATACCACTCTGCAGCAGGTTAGTAGTTGATATCCCAAGCCTATCAAAGCAGGCATGCTCAGGCGCATCACAGAAACAAGACAGATTACAAGGGCAGCAAACAGCTTCAGTTACCTGACTTTTTAAACCAGCAGCACAACCTTGTCAAAATATTAAGAACAAGATGAACACAAGGACAGAACAAGATAACATTAACCACTTTAACAGACAAATGCCTTAAAAGAGTAGTTTTAAAGCCACTGAGCTTTTCACAAGCCCATCTCTACAGTGGTACCTTGAAGATGAAAAAACTCAATTACTAAGGTGGGTGCGATTTCATTCCCCTTTAAAGCAGTGATAGACTCTGCTTTGAAATAGACCAATAAAAAACATAAGCCAGAATCTAACCCACAGTTACTGAGATTTGAGTTTCTACCTGTACACAGTACACAGCATCAGACACATGCACTGTGAAAGATTCACTGTGCTCATCTTTATTTCAACTCACTTGCCAAGTTTTTTTGAGAGTCGTTAGCCAGGGAGCTCAGCCAGACTATTACCTGCATCATACTGCTGTTCTCCATTCATCTCCACAGGAGCCCAGTGGTTACTCAGAGCAGCCAGAAGCAGGGGAATCCAGGGCTGTCACGGTTTGGTCATTAGTCTCCTCCTGCCTCCAATTCTACTGGCAGCCAGGACATTCAAGAAAGGATCCTGAAAAAAACCCCAACAAACACAGTCAGACTGTAAGCAGCTTTATGAAGGCTACAGTTGCATTTATACTGACATTCAAGTAAGTGGCTCGTGAACCACCGCTGGTCCGAAAAATTCTAACAATGTTTTCTCCTTTGAAAATCTGTCTATTTGTTAAAAATTGAAGTATTTTGAAAAATTAGTTGTATTATAGGGAAGTTCAGGTAGGAGAGTGTCTGCTTTGGCCAGGTTGCCTGCCCAGTTCCTCAGCTGTCTCTTAGAGCAAGCAGAGGATACATCCCTAATCCCAGGCACAAGGACTGGGTGGACACGGGTGGCTGAGACCAGAAAAGGCCACGTCACTGTCCCTGCTGATAGCAGTATCTTTAGGCTCCCATGGCCCCTGTGCAAAGCAGGCTAATCAAGACCTGATTCCACTATTTAGACACAGAGAACTTGGAAAGAAAAAAAAAGGAAAAAAAACCCCAAACCCAAACCTTCCCAAATTACAGTAATTCCATTTTGTGGAGGATTAGTATGACTTAACTGTAAAACACTGCTACTGTGTAGCAGGCTGTAAATGTCCTGAGCATGTCTGTGGAGCATCCAGGCTTGCTAGCTGGAAATATCACACAAGTCAAATCAAACTTGAGCTACACGTCAGCTGAAAGTGAGGTGCTGAAGTTACACTGTAGACTGAGCTACAGTTTTTGGTATTAGTTTTAGGCAACTGCAGAGCAAAGCACTGAAAAGCCTGCTTACATCTCCTGTGCACAACATTAGCAGCTTCATTCACACACAAATAAACCAACAAAATTCAACAGAACCAAAGAAATATCTCAGTGCTCAGTGATGTAGAAAGTTCTTAAGTACAATCAAATATATAGTCAACTTTAAAAATCTCCATTAGAAGGACGACCAAAAAAATTTTAAGAGTAGCAAGAGGTATCACTAAGAGCTCCTATTGAATGGTAGTTTAATGCTAAAAAAATCTACCGTGTATTAGATATTAATATGGTCTTATTCATTATAGCTTCAGGAATGCACCTGGATAGGAACTCAGCTGCCCCTTTCTGCTACACCACTTTTCACCTGCCGTTCTGCAGCTCGAAAATACTCTGGTCATAGTATTGCTACAAGGTCTCAAGTTAACACCCTGTTTGGTTCTGCCACTGTGAGAAAGTTACTGAGAAATGCAACACAGGTACCATTTCTATCCATCTCAACTGCTTCCTTAACACACTAATTCCATGCCCTCAGGACAAAGCAGTACAGGGTAAGCTAACACAACAGCACTTTCCCAGCCTACCCTTTCTGAAGACTTTCCTCCCGTTGACACTCTGACAGGCAGAGTTTGCATTAATTCTATCCTTTATGAACTAACGCTGGAAGATGATGTCACTGGCAACCGGCATGGTGCTTGGCTCGCAGTGAAGAACTAACCAACAAAATACTTCTGAATCGTTAATCAAAATATTTCTTGGTAATGGCCTATTATAAATCTATCAGCTGTCACACTGCTAAGCCAAAGCTAAGGCAATACTATGGAAAACACTGAGTGAAGCATGTAGGCCAAGGAGTCTGGGGCTATGCCACCGGTTTCTAACAGCATAGCCCTGGCAAAGTACCCTGAGAATTTCACTGCAATTAAGATATTTTCAGCTTATGGGATCCAGCTCTCAACTGACCTAACTGAACTAACTGATGTAAAACTAACTTCACCTTTTCTTGCAAAACAAATATTTAAGACAACTCTCCTCTCTCCCCTGCCTCCCCACCCCCCCAAATACAACCCAAAACCAAGAACCAAAGGAGCTGTTTTTTTTAAAGATGCCAAACACTGGCAGCTCCTGTTGAAATTGATTGATATTCTGTCCAAGTCAAGTTGGGTAGTTATTCAGGATTTCATAAGTAGCTCTGGTGTTTTATGTACACAAAATTGAGATTACTTATAATTAGCACCTGCCATGGCTGATGCTTACAGTCTGGCACCCCAAAGATTATCTTTTGAGAAATCTCAAGGGAGGGGAGCACAAATGCTGATGTAATAGAGCTGATTTAGAAATACTTTGGACTCTTCAGTCTCACTTCTGCATTTCAAACCTCCTTTCAGCACATGAAATATTCAGATGTTAGCAACTGGAGGCAGCATTAAAAACAGTTACAGTTCATTAAAGCCAGATGGCTCACTTGAATATGAAAAGAAATCAAACAGAAGTTGGATGTTGAATTAAAGTAAATCAGCTGGTGTCTGAGGCTTAATATTATTTTAAAACAAAGGCATGTGAGACAATGGGGACATGAGACACCCCTATGGACTGGAAAAGAAGCTACAGAAAGGATCGGGTTTCAGCAAATTCCTTCATGCAAAGGCATCCAGTAAAATCTATTTCAAAATCCTGTGTGTACCATATATAGAGCTTCACTCTGCACAGGCAGGCAGAAAACCTGTTGCAGAGACCTGTCAGAGCAGGGAAGAGATTCTGGCACTGAATAGCAAGATAAATTTACTGTTAACACCAACAAAGAGAGGAAAAGGTCCTTTTTGCTATTCTTGTACCATACCCTGGAGGCAGGAGGAGAGGAGGAAAACGTCCTCCTGGTCCCTATGTCCATTCACACATTATCTGTGCTTTTTCACTTCAAGAAAATACTAACTACAAGCTTCCTTTGAGGAGAGATGGCACATGCAATTAATCTAATGACTTCTTGTAACAAATCAGATTTTGTGGAACTCTCAGCTATGCCACAAACATCATCTAATTTGGTCCAATGTTTGCAGTGGTGAGTCTTGTTGGTATTTCAGAAAGAAAAACTATTCAGGACAAAAGCACCTCTCTACTACAAAGTTCGGTCTGAAAAACATTCAGAAAGAACAATGCCAAGTGCAAAACAGGTACAGAGGAGCATCCAGCAGCAACAGCCACCTTTTTTCCTAGTGCAGTTACAAAGAGGAAACCACCAGTCCCTCCTCACTTCCTCCAAGGTGGTAACGCAGTGATCCTTTCAGTCAGCATTCCCATTTCATCTGGCTAACACACAAGGGCAGTATTAAAGCCCTTCTGCAGTTAAGAATGAGAACTCTTATGACAAAATTAACTGGAAGGAGAGAATTTTCCTTCACAGAGAGAAAACTGCACCAACACTACACACCAGCAAGCCCAATCCTGGCACTGCTGTGGCCAGAGCCCGACACATGGGACCCCCAGGCCTCACTCCCTGCGCTGCCACATGCAACCGCAGCTACAACCTGCCACCAGCTTCACTCACTTGCGTCCTGCTTTTATTATTACTTCAAAAACACAGGGTTTTCCACAACCTGCAAAAGACAACTTCAAGCTCTTCTTTTAACCTTTTCCCTAATCTAGCAACCACACAGCTAATCATGAATATAGGCATCAGCTGCGCCTTTTCCTACAAAGATGAGACAGTGGCTCCAGAGGGCACGGTACAAAGCAAGATTTGTATGTGACTGGGTCTGCAGGCCTTACACATTATCAACATATAAGCAGATCTAAGCTAGCTGAGATGCAGCTGCAAAGGGTCCTTTACTCTAGGAGATAAGCCAGGCGGAGAACATCAGCCCTTTGGAAAACACATTTACACCCTCTCCAAGGACAAAGAGACTCCACATGACTGAGCCTCTGTGAACCCCCCGCTGATAGGAGAACTTAGAAAAATGGAAAGGACCAGCTAGGATGACAAGTTGAAGTGTTTTAAATTCCAGTAGAATTAATCTTAAAAAATTAAATATCTATAGCACAAACACAACCCAGCATAATAAACTAAAGCAAATTTTACTTCAGGTCCACTTCCAATGCGTAGTACTTGATTCCTCATAAACATTTTTATTAAATCCACTACAGGTATGCTGGTGAGCTTGCCTAACACAATACTCTGGAGTACCATTAGTTTGAATTTTAAGCACAAAAAAGTAAGATACCTAGTAAGCAAATTTCTTAATCTTCCATCCAACGTGGAGAATAGAAACCTTTGGCTGACTTGCAGTTGTTAGAAGCATTGTTTTTACACACACCTATGTAACAGAGGGTCTGTAAACAGGAGCTCATTTGCTTGCTTCTGTGAGGATTTATCAGACAAACAGATTATTGAATCACCCTTTCTTGTAGGTATGAACACCAATATTTTCATTAGGCCATCTTGATAGCATATTGGGGTACTCCAAAAAAAAAGCAAAACCTTCCTCTATTATTGCTATATTTAAAAAATAAATATGTAGGGCAGCTATGTTTCCATATTTTTGGCAGCTGCTAAACCAGCTGTAACCAAATCAAGTCTGAGTTTACCACCTTAGCTATCACCCCTCTAGCCTGTCTTCCAGTTGAATCATAAAATTTGTTTTTTTGCAAGAGGCCACAGGGCCACTGTCCTGGTGACAAACCTTCTTCAGCAGCTCTGGCTGCAGACTTTGCCTTAAGTAGTTACCCTCTGTCCAAGGACAACAGCAGTAACCAACAACTCAACCATCCTTCATGAGAAATTGTTAATTCATCAAAAGCAGTCAAAATTTCTGAAGTTTCAACCGCTCTCATCTCTCTCTGCCAAGAATAGAGACTTGGTAACTTTTTTGGGCTTTGTCCTTGCAAGGACAAAAACTGGGTTCGTCTTAACACTCAACTCCTGCTCTTTGCAAAGGAAGCTCTCCTGGAGACATGGCACAGGATTCCTGCAATCCCTTTCATCTTTTTGCCTGCCAAAAGCATGCTTGAGTGTTCTTATCTGAACAGCTTCTGTATGGCCTCTGAGAACAAAAACTACTGAATATGAAGATTATATATGTATATATATGCAAATAGGAAATACTATCAGCAGAGATAGATTATTAAAACTTACTACATTTTTCTATCACACGTGCCCTACAATCTCTGCTCACTGACTGGTACTTCTAACTATTCCACCCATCCATTTCCCTGCTACCTCCTTTCAGTCTCTTTTTGCAGAACAGAGTTGTTTGTCCAAGTTGTTCATCCCTCACATTGCAACAGCAACTCTGAGGCTCCTCAAGA